AACATATATATATATATACACACATATATGAGATCAATATGTGTTGTGTGTGTGTGTAAACAGCTCTGGTGGCATAGTGCCTAAGACATTTGACTATTAACCAGAAGGCTGGCAGTTCAAACCCACCAGCCACTCCTTGGAAGGAAGATTGGACAATCTACTTCCATAGCCACACCACCCCAGAAACCAAGGAGGAGTCACTGGAAGGTGGAGTTGACTCTATGGCAGTGAGTATCAAGGAGGAGTCACTGGAAGGTGGAGTTGACTCTATGGCAGTGAGTATATATATATATATATATATATATATATATAAATGCTCTGATGGTGTGGTGGATAAGGCATTTACCCACTAGCTGCTCCACAGAAAGCAGATAGGACAATCTACTTCATGAAGATTTACAGCCTAGGAAACCTAATGGGGGTCTCTACGAATTGGAATTGACTCTATGGCAGTCTATATAAATAGCCTTTGAATTTCATTAGGGAATCCCAGACTTAAAAATTATTCTTCCTCTGTAGGAAAAAGTTCAGTGGATCAGGGACTACAAGTGTCCAAGTGTTGTTCATAATAGCTCTCCAAATTTGATTTCATGTCTAAAATTGTCAAGCATGTTACTCAGTCTCTAAGATTTCTGGGATTTCCAGGCTGCAGATAGAATACAGATATACATAGTGCTCCTTCTCCCACATTGTTCAGTATCTTTTATTCATCACAGTCATTCCCCCAACCCTCACCACTGAGTGGTTGCTGTCAGCACTATCCTTTGTCATTGCTGATTTTTCTAGCACCTTCCATCCCAAGCCCCTCAAAACACGGTAGTTTTGTTTTGTTTTTTTCTTTTTTTTTTTGCACACAAATGTGAGGGTGCATGTCCTGGGTAAAATCTGCATACCCCTGATTACTTAAGCAGACCTCCTTAGCCATAGTCATCACTAGAATATCTTCACCTTAGAATACCAAATATAACTCTTGTCATTTCTAAGGTCTTTGGTACATACTCTATTCAGAGAGTAGAACTCAGCTCAAAGCAAGAAAGAGATCAGTAGAATTATGGTCATCTGTCAGACAAAATATATCATAGACAAAAGTCAGTAAATACAATAATTCCTCAAGTGGGAGAATAAGGCTAGCTTTTCCATCTTCCGTTGGTCACAATCAAGCCTATATTCGAATAGCAACTTTCTCTTCTCCATCTATATATTCCTGTGGAAGTATATTTCATCTACAACCACATCCAAGTCAGAAAACTTAATGCATGCTTTGTGCCTCTAGTTTTTAGGTTATTAATAGATTATGATATATTAGCCCAATAATACATGCCTTTCTCTAGAGATTTCCAATCCTTTATCTTCTTCAAATCTGTTTTTAAATATATTTGTAAATTGTGGTAAAATATATATAACATAAAATTTGTCATTCTAACCATTTTTAAGACTACAATTTAGTGCAATTAATTATATTCACAATGTTGTCCAGCCACCACCACTATTTGTGTTCAAAACTTGTTTTTATCAACACAAACAGAAACTCTGTACCCATTAAGCATTAACTGCCCATTCTCTGCCTCATTTCCTCCTCCCACCTAGCTCGTGGTAATGACTAATCAATCTACTTTCTGTCTGTATACATGTTCCTATTCCAGATATTTCATATAAGTGGAATTATGCAAGACTTGCCCTCTTCTGTGTCTACCTTATTTCACTTAGCATAATGTTTTCAAGGTTCATCCATGTCATACCATGTGTCAGAACTTTTCCTTTTTGTGGCTGAATAATATTTCATTGTATGGATATACCACATTCTATCTATCCATTTATCTATTGATGGAAATTTTCTTCCCAAAATCTTAATTGAGTAATGATAAGGAACAACGGTCCTACCAATAATACTAACAATAAGTCACTATCTTTTTGGTGATTAGGTTCAGCCTGGTGCCAAAGAAAATGAGGTCTACTCTGTCTGGTCAGGACTTCCATCTCTGCAGATGGGTGATGAAGACTCTCGTCTGCTTGGTTTTTACAACCTACTCCGCTGCCTACGCAGGGATTCTCACAAGATTGACAGCTATCTCAAGCTCCTCAAGTGCCGGATTATCTATAATAGCAACTGCTGAGCTCAAATCTATTCCTTCTTTTCCTTAAATGGTTCTTAATAATGCATATCACCACAAGTTCTTAGTTTTACAGCTTTCAGTGCATGCTTGGGTGTAATGGGTCTCTTCTTAAAAAATAAAAAAAAATGACTCTTTGGAGATATCAAATTCTAAAAAGCCAATTTGTCGAAGTTTCTTGTTTTCATATATAGGAAATCAAAAGAGAATTCATCACTACTACTGATAAGTTCCTAGCAAATGTTGTCACAAATAGAAGCCAGCCTTGCAAATAAGAAATCAACAGCTTACTTTTGCTGTTGTTGTTGTTGTTATGTGCCATAGAGTCAGACCTGACCATAGCAACCCCTCCTTGGGTTTACAAGACCCTATCACTGTGGAAGTAGATTGCCCAACCTTTTTTCTGAGGAGTGGCTGGTGGGTTTGAACCACCAGCCTTCTGGTTATCAGTCCAGGGCCTTAGGCACTACGCTACCAGAGCTCCCAACAGCTTACTTTAGAATCACAGTAAATTGTTGTGGATCAAGTTATTAGAATAAAAAAGTTAGCTAACTATTAATCATGCTAGTCATGCTGCAAAGAAGAGTTAGTTCTCAGAATGCTTAATGAAAGCCAGCCATGTGTTATTTTCTAACTTCAGTGTTATGACAGACAATACAAATACTATGAATCTGTGATGCACCTAAATGTTGTTGTTGTTGTTGCTGTTACGTACCATCAAGTCAGACCCAGCTCATGGTGATGCCTCCTTGAGTTTCTGAGGCAGTATTACTATGGAAGTAGATTGCCCAACCTTCCTTCCAAAGACTGGCTGGTGGATTTGAACCACGAGGTTAATTGAACTGTCTAAAATTGTTAGGACACAATCAGGAAATGGTTTTATATTTTTCTATATCTGTCTTCAGACATGCTCTACAGAACACTCATATCCTTAAGATCACTTTTTGTATATTTATTCCATACTTTTTCAATCACTTGAAGTCTTAACAAGTCCAGCCCAATCAAGTTTCCAACTTCATCTCATATCCAATCAATATAGTGTTTTCCTCTCCCCTACTGTAGCTCCCTGGGTGGTGTAAAAGGTTAAATGCTCAGCTACTAACTGAAAGGTTGATGGTTCCAATCCATCCAGAGGTGCCTTGGAAGATCTTTTTCAAAAAGGTCACAGTCTTAAAAACCCTAAAGTACGGTTCTGCTGTGCACAATGTGGGTTGCCTGAGTTGGAATCAACTTGACAGAAACAAGTTTATGTTGTGGCTCAAGGGACCTAACAAGAAAGCAGATTGAATCACTTTCTATGTTTCTTTGCCCTTCCTCATCTGGATCTCCATTCCTCTGGCATGTTGAGATGCGATAGAGGATTAGGGAAAATTGAAACGTTCCAATATCCCACAATTATATGGTGCTACTGTAGCTGCCTCATAACTCACAGGGATTAAATTTGAATTCCTTCTGGTGGATATCTCTCTTATGGATCACACTTGTGATTTTCTAGGATAGCCACAAGAGAGGACTGCATACTTGCTTTACCAGAGATACACTCTGGGTTGATTCTTCTATCCGCCCTACGGTTCTACCATCTACAGGATTTTCTACAACCTATGATGCTGTTCATCTCACCTAGCATTTTCTTACTGGAGAAAACTGTTATCTGTCAAGTGCAGGAAACCCAAGAGTCCCAATCACCTGAAACAGTGGCAGTCAGGCTGCATCATTTCTGACCCCTTTCCTGGTATCTCTCATCAATTCTATTCTCCTTATGTTCACATAGATAGAGAATAAATGAGAAAGTTGGATTCACATGCAGACATTCACCAGAGAAATGAGATGCATTCTGCCCTTCTTCAAGACTCAATCTATAATTATCTCTATCAAGCATTATCTTGAAGGGTCTACCTTATAAACATTCCCTACTAGGTCAATTGGGAGCTCTGGTAGCATAGTGGCTAAGGCACACCACTAGAAGGCTGGCAGTTCAAACCCACCAGCCACTCCTCAGAAGGAAGGTTGGGCAATCCTACTTTCATAGTGATGTTGTTGTTATTATGTGCCGTTGAGTCGGACCCGACTCATAGCGACCCCTCCTTGGGTTTCCGAGGCAGTATCACTACGGAAGTAGGATTGCCCAACCTTCCGTAGTGATACTGCCTCGGAAACCCAAGGAGGGGCCGCTATGAGTCGGGGCCGACTCGACAGCAAATAACAACAACAACAACTACGTCAATGACTCATAGCCCTCTCCTCAATTACCTAGTCTTCTAAATAGAATTGATTGGATGTGAGTAGTTCAATTTGTTCAATTGCCTTAAAAAAATAAAAATAATAAAGAAAACCTGGGATAGAGGTCAGTTCTCAGGCAGAGGTATTGCCACAGTATTTTTGCAGAAGCTTTAGGGCTTTAGCAGAAATTCCTAAAGAAGAAGTAATAAGAAACAGCTCATTCAGCATTCTGATACAGATGAAATAAAAGGTAGCAGTGAAGAGGAAGAAAGGAAAGGAAAGTGATAGGAAAAGTAAGCAAAAGATTTGAATTGTGAAAGATGAGATGCTGTTAGAATACTGCATTTGGTGAAGACCTAGACCTATTACTTCAATATCCATATCCTAAGAGCATATCATCTCATTGTCTTTTGTTTCTCTTTTGTCTTCTCCCTTCCCTTCCCTTTGCCCTTTCCAATGGACTAGTTATAGCCTAGGAAATGAGTAGAATTTGTCACCTCTTCAGATCCAAAACTAAGGTAATTTTCTACCTCTGTGAAAGAAACCGTTTACCTACTTGTGGAAACATTGCCAGCAAAACCAACATCTGAATACTATCCTTGCCTCTAGCTATATTGACCTGCTGTTTTTGTGTGTCATGGAGTGGAATCCTTCTTATAGCAATCTTATAGGACAGAGTAGAACTGCCCCATAGGATAGTAAGCCTTACAGAAGCAGATTGCTAGATCTTTCCTCTTGTGGAATGGTTGGTGGGTTTGAACTGCCAACCTTTAAGTGAGCAGTCAAGTGCTTAACCTTTGTGTCACCAGGGCTTCTAAATCTTCCAACAACAATTTTTTGTAGAATGTTGACCCCAAACCAATCTCTCAACTCCTCCCATTCCTCCTGAAAGTATGCAAAATGTTAATTTTCTCACTTTTCAACCTTCTTCACTTGAAAGGCAAGGGAATATGGGAAAATATCTGTCCATATTTTCTTTATTGCTGATAACACTTCATTCCCTTATATTTCCCATTTATATTTTTACCTAAAAATTTCCTGCAGAAAGGATATTATATATTTGAGTGAAATTTGTCAAGAAATGGACAATTGTATGAAACAAAAGTTCACCACTAACCTACACACATTAAGTTTCTTTCCAAACACAAATGTAAGACTTCTACTAAACAACTGAGTGTTGTGATGCTAAAGACCTCTCTCTGCTTGATGGTGACATATATTAACATAATTGAAAATACAATGCTGCAGTTTTCAGACAAGAATGAGTAGAATCTTAGGTGTTCTTTAGAGTCATCAAGGAGTAGCTGGAAAGAGGATATTTGAAAAGACTATAACTATCACTCACCTTTCAACTAGAATGAGACTATTTATTTCCTGTTCTACAGATGCCATTTCTATGCAAGATTACATTTGAAGAAATGGCTCTGCAATAGCAAGAATAAAGTTAATGGTAACAAAACAAGAACAACCAACAAAAATTCCTTGAAATCCACTGATCTCATAGAGTAGTAAAATCAGGTGGCATGAACACAACAGGGACTACAAGAGAGATAAGAAAAATCTCTATTTA